GGGATGTGCCCAAAGCCCACAGGATGTGGAGTCACCCCTGAGAGCTGTTTGCTGGGGACAATGGGAATCAGCCCAGCTCTGAAAAGAGTTTCAGCCTCCTCTCCCCTCCCATTCAACCTGGTACCAGCCCAGTTGCACTGGTATGATGTTATCCACCTGTGGGAAGGAGAGCAATCACAGCATCATGGAATGGCCTGGGTTGGGAGGGAACTTAAAGCCCATCCAGTGCCACCCCAGGGACACCTCCCACTGTCCCAGGCTGCTCCCAGCCCTGTCCAGCCTGGCCTTGGGCACTGCCAGGGATCCAGGGGCAGCCCCAGCTGCTCTGGGCACCCTGTGCCAGGCCCTCCCCACCTCACAGTGAAGATTATTTTCCTAAAGGTGATCACAGCTCCTAAAAGCTTGCTTGCTCTTGGAGATTCCTTAAGGAACTGGAGAGCTGCCCCAGCCTGAGGCAGCCCCAAGGACACACCAAGGGTGCACTGGGGCACAGGATTCCGCCCCAGCTCCACGTCAGAGCAGGATGTGAAAGCAGAGGGAAGAGTTTAAGAGCACAATTTACACCCAGCTCAGGGGCTGATGGAGCACAGGCCCAGCAGCTGATCATTAGGGAAACATCAGGATGTATGGGAAGAAGAAGAAAAAAGGAAGCTCCACAAATACAAGTTAAAGAAAATCCTCTGGGAGACCTAGAAGGCAGCAGGTAACTTGTCTGCTGCCAGCACAGCCAGCAGAAAGTGGGCATTAGAAATAAAAAATAGTAATTTTTTTCAAAAGCAGCCTGATGAGGTCTGGTCACCTTTTACTCCAGACACTTTAATGGTCCCTCGCAAGGTGATGGCATGAGATGCAACAAGGCTTTTCCTCATGACCGCTCTCCAAAAATCCAGCTTATTTCTGCTGGAGCAGAAGCCGCACAGAGCACATTTCTAAACCTCCCAGTTTGCAGGGATGATCCTGGCTCTGGTATCCCATCTAAGAGAGATTTCTTTTTTTACTGGCATCACTCACGAAAGGAAATCCCATCAATCCACCAGCAGGACGGGATGGGGCTTTGCTTTCTCTTCCCAAACCTGCATCCCCCCACTCACAGGGTGCAAGGGCCCTACTGATGTCTGATCAAAGGGTCAGTGCAGAGATAAAACCTGTCTGTCCCACCCAGACCCACCCCTCAGGGCCTTACAAACAACCCCTCTTTGGCCAAAGCCTCCAGACATGGCCCAGGGCTGCATTTAGCACCACACAAAACAATAATTAAACTGGGACACCAGGCGGTGGGGAACAACAAAAACATAAATCTCTCTTATGTTTTGTTAAATTCAGCAATTTACAAGGCTGGAATAATTAGTGGTTTAAAATGTTTTGACACAAGCAGCCCCAATAATCATGATAAATCATATCAGGCATATGCCCAGATCCTTGAAGTGACAGATGACAAACAGAGCAGTGACAAGACGCTCCATCACACAGGGAATCATTGAGTTAATGGAAGAATTATTGCTTCTGAAATCCACTCTAGTCCCATTGTGGGGAACATTCCAATTTATCAAAGCCAAATGAACATTAATTGCTGCAGCCTGGTAAGTTTTCGAGCTGCTGTGACCTTCATTGAATTTTAATCCAAAACAGATAAGATTTACTTCCACACAACAGGAAACAACACAATTAAACCCAAATGACAGCTGAGATTATGGTGAAAAAACACAACAGGCATAATGACAAAAATATTGATTCCTTTCTACTTGACACTGTGCTTAAAAAAAAGGGTAAATAAATAAAATCTTGCATTTGCATATTTGTTTTTCGTTTTCCTTTATCCCTTCTTTTCATTTAGGAGACAAATTTCAGATGCTCAAGCCAAGAGGAAATGGGTGGCAGAGAGTAATGGAGACTGAATTCCCTTTAACTGCAGTAATTAATGTTATGTCTCATTGGGGAGAGATTAAGAAAAAACAGTTAGGAAAGGAAAAAAAATAAAAATTAAGTATTATCTTGCTGTCAAAGATGCCCTTGAGCTCAGGAAGAGAGGCATGAAGAGGGTGCCAGTCAGTCAGTGCTTTGCAGGGGTAGATGGTGGCCACAGGGACATGGGCCATGGACACTTTCCTGTTGCACTGGGAGCAAACAAATCCCAAACCAGGAAGCCATGGACTGACAGCCAGAATCACTGGAAGGAGGAATAAACCCAGGATTTGCACTTCCCTGGAGCCCCCATGCAGCACAGAGCGGGTCTTGGCTTTAGAGGCAGAGCAGGAGCTCCCAGCCAGGCCATAAACACCTTCAGAAATCCAACCAGTTCCTGGCTTGGAGATGTCTCACTGCCCAATAACTGTGCCAAGTGCTCCCTGGGAGAGGGATCAACCAGATCCCCCTGCAAACCTTCCCCAGATCATATAAATCACCTGGAGCATGAGGACAGAGGTAAAAGCAAGAGTGAGAGCCGCTTCAAGGGGATGAAGGGAGCACTTTGCCATGTCCCCTCCTGTCCCCTGGGGAGGGATGCTGGGCTGATGATGGACAGAGCCTGAATGCCAGGGCAGCACTGGGGTGGGCTGGAATTCTGTCCACAGCAGTGATGGTGGTTTAGTTCATAGAAAGCACACAGAGACATTGGGCTTTGTGGTAGGAAGAGGCAGGACAAGTATTTGGGACACAGGTTGTATCCTGAGGCAAAAGGGATATGGACACAGAGGGTGTGGGGACAGGAAGGGGGACCCAGGGCCCCACTGTGCCAAGCACAGCACAGCCAGGGAACCCCATTGCTGGGGTAGGAGAGCCCAAGTGATGGGGGCCCTTTGGGATGTGCTCCAGCTGGGGTTAAAAAGGAAATAAAGGAGTGGGAAAGCAGCCCAGGGACATGGGTGAAATATTCCACCCAAGAAACAAATAGCTGTGCCCATTTTATTTCCCCTACAGAGCTCCATGAGGCCTCAAGGAAGAGGGAAAAAAAAAAAAAAGGAAAAAAAAAAAAAAAAAAAAAAAGAAAAAAAAAAGGCAACCAACCAACAAAACAGAATCATCTTTGCTGGTAACTCAAAACTTGGCTGGGGTTCACTCAAAAAGTTAATGAACCTTCTGAAAAATCTGGGCAAAGTTTCAAGCCTGTGCTGCAGTCCTGACCCAGGGAAGGGATCTGCAGGGCTCCTGCCTCCCCAGGGACACATGTGCAGCCTAGACCCCATCCCAGACCCAGATCCATGCCCAGGACCTCAGCTCCTGCTGCAGGGAATGTCAGGATTTATACAGAGGGTGGAGTTACAGCTGACTGTGTGTGGCAGGAACAACTCCTTCTCTCCTGTTGCTTTTGCAGGAGGGAAGAGAGGCACAGAGCAGGAATTAAGTCTCACAGCAAAGCCATGGGTGCTCCCATGCCACTGGCAAAGCACATCTTCCCTGGTTAAACTGGGATTAGAGGCCAAAGCCATTCCTGTGACATTTCTGTGACATGGCCAGCAGTGCTGTCAGCTCCGTCCCCCGGCACTGCCGCTCCCCCATTCTGAGGTGCAGCAAAGGAAGGCTCTGGCCAGGAGCTTCTCAAAGGAATTTCCCAAGCATCCACTCATTACAATAATCTCTTGTATTTTAGAGATAATCTTCAGCAAGGGCTGAGGACCAGGACTGAATCTCTCCCTACTACAGAAAATCTGCATTTCAAGCAGGAAGCACCAGGCTGCAGAGAAAGTGTCACCCCACAGACACAGGACAATTCTCCAGGGCTCAGGTTTGCCCACAACAGCCAAACAATCCCATACTCAAACCTCCTGCCAGGGATGGAGCTCTTCACACCCTGCACTGTTTTCTTTCTTTGTTGTCTCTCACATTTTCAGGCTCATTTTCCAAGTATGCATTTCTAACCTTTTCCCCCTCTCCAGCACCCCATCCTATTGACAATTCAGCAGGACATAAAAACATTCCCTCAGTAAGATGCAGCCCCCAACTCCTTTCCCTTCTGTCATCCAGCATCTTATCTTGCCCAACAGCCTTAATGCAAAGCCTCTCTCCCTTCTCACATGCATTCAGTGCCAGATCTAAAGCCCCACTGAGGAGACACTCAAAAAACCAGATTTAAGTTGTAAAAGCCAAATAGCTGCTTGTTCAAATTAAAAAATAAAAATAAAAATAAAAGATTTGTACTACCATTGTCTCTGTTCCTCCTTCCAAAACTAAGGACAGAAGCTGTGCAGATGACCCAGAATCTAGGAGATGAACAGGTTCACCTTTTGCTGGGGGTTGCTGTGTGGGATCCTCAGGCCTTAAAAGACTTGCTTTGGCAAGTGCATGGCATGCACACACACTGGATATACCAACCTAACTTCTTTTTTTCTGTACCTTATCCCAATGGGATTGAAGGGACAATACACTGAATCCCATTTTACAGATGGAGCTCTAAAACACGGAGGAACCATGGACCAGATCCAAACACGTAGGCAAGCACCTCATATGATACTGAAACTTTAAAAGGCAGCACAGCACATAAACAGTGCATTATTAAAAGGTCACAAACACCCCAGATGGAGACATTCAAAGCACTGGATCATCTTTTTACTTTTAGGTCAGGCTTTTTACTTTTAGGTCAGGCTTGTCCTTTGCAAGAAATGCTGCAGCCCTTACTCACTTCAAAGATAAACTTCAGCTTCAGAAAGAAGTGGCCAAGCCCAAAATCTTGCCTTTGCACAATGCCCAAACACAAAGACAAAGCAGAAATACTCCACTGGCACCTCACCACTTTCCAACACAGGAGGAACTACAAGGATCCTTGTTACCCTCCCAACAGCTTCTTTCCCACACTCTTTTGCTTTGTTTCATTTTCTCAGAAGACCAAGCGCTGTGTTGTTTTTTGGTTGGTTGGTTTTTTTCCTGGCCCATTCAAACACATCCCTCCCTTTCTGAAGCCCCAACCAAGAAGGGACACAAACATCTGCAAAGCAGACTCACCACCCTGCTCCTCACCCCCCTCCTCCAAGGGGGTCCCTCCATCCCCACCAGCAGCCGGGACTCACCATGACTGAGATATGAAGGATGTGCATCTGCTCCTCCACGATCTCCGAGGGCTCCTGGAGGCTGGGTGGGGTGGCCCTGGAGAGCTGCTCAGCGCTGCTCATGGACACGTGGAAGTAGAGGGTGCCATTCTCCAGCCACTGCTGCTTCCAGTGCACCAGCGAAATGTCCGACACCGTCCCCGACATCTCTGCAGGGACACAACACACAGCTCAGGGTCAGCTTTCTCCACAATGCCCAAAGGTGTTATTCTAAATTATCAAGGAAATTGGAACTTTTGAGTCTTACCCCCAGAACTGCTTCTATTTAATTTTAGCTTCTACCTGTTACTTTCCTTATATATGAACAGAAACATTTGTCTTCCTTAATAAAAATCACAGGGCTACAGAGTGCCTGGGGATTTCTAGAATAGGAAGGCAAGAACAGCAAATCACACAGGATGCCCTAAACCTCCTGTGGCTTTCCCAGGAAACAGGCTGGAAGGAGCTCCCAGGGAGCTGCAGCCAAGCCCAAGGGAGTTTCATGGCTCAGGGAGGCCCCTCGGTGCCAGACAAGGCAGGGTGCAGACACCAGTACACTTTGCTGGCATTTACAATGGAAACCTCCTTCCAGCTGTGGGGCAGCAGCACAGCTGTATTTAATAAAGACACTCTCAGCACAGACTGTGAGCTCCAGCCACAAGGGAAAACCTCCAGGCTTGACAAATATCTATTGACACTGGAGCTGCACCTGTCAGTCACCTTCTGCAGCTGCTGGTGGTTTTACATCCCACCCAATCCTGATTTACAGCACGGGCACCCCGGCAGCCAGGATTCAGCACACACCACCAGCCTTCCCTGACCTAAAGCACTGCACTGAATTGGGGGTTTGGAGAACCCAAAGGGCACCCTCAGACCTGCAGACCTGTGGAGGCAGCAGCTCCCAGCCTCAGCTGCAGCTCCTGAGTGGGCCAGGAGCACTGACAGCTCCACAGCTGCCCAGCACGTTGCACACAGATCTCTGCAGAGAATGGGTTTGGCAGTTGGGCAGCTGAATCAAAACCAAAAAAAAAAAAAAATTTACTAGTACAAAATGAGCCAAAATATTTCTCCTTCCACCACATCTTTTTTTTGAGTTTGTTTTTCCATTTCCAGTATAAGCAATGGGAAGCAAGACAGGTCTTCTTAGTCACTGGGTTCACAGCTTCAGCAGCTTTGAGGAAGACCCAAATCCAATTCCCTCCAATTTGGGGAGAGACCAGGTGTGACAGTCCCTGACCCACTGTCTGCAGGCGTGTCTGCCCCAGAACAGTCAAGAACACAAGCTCAAGTACTTTTGGTACCTCAGAGGGAACAGAGACAAGGTTCTCCTCCACCTTGGCTGCAGAGGGTCAGTGGGGAGGACAGCACTTGCTCCCCTGCAGGCAAAGCAGCCAGGGAATGTTGGTGGCATTCTGCATTTCATTACCCTGAGCCCAGCTGGGCAAGAGCACATCTGTTCCAGCTCCCAGTGGAGAGGAAGGAAGGAACAAGCCCAGCTGAGGCTGTCCTGAGGAGCCACCCACACCTTGCAGGACATGATGTTTCAACCAGACACCTGGGAGGTGAGCAGCCACTCAGGCTACAAGGCCAGGCACTTGCACTTCTACAAACCCAGCCCAACAAAAAAACCTCTCAATTCTTCAGAAACAGTTTTTCTAACCCCTGAAATCAATATATTTTCCAGGAGCAAGCTCCTGGCTTCCCAACGTGCATCAAAAGAGAGCCAGCCAAGCTCTGATGGAGAAGAGCCCATCACACCACAGGTCCTGCAGGGCTGAGGGCAGGGCCAAGGCCACCCCATTACTGCCAGATCCCTGATTCAGCACCTCACTGGTGACACTCCAAGCCACCACCGTGTCACCTCAGTCTCACCAGAGGGGTTTGCTCATTGCCTCTGCCCCACCCCCAGCACTGCACCTTCCTTATCCCCAACCCCTGTCCACACCTGAGCACTCAGAGAAAAACCAAACAGCTCCTGACCACACCTGGATCCATCAAGAGCTCACTCTTGTGCTTGGGAGGGGGTGCACGAGCTCCCTGTCACATCCCTGTCACTGCCCTGACATCCTGCTAATGACCCTTCTCTCCTCTGACAGAAAAGGCTCTTTGCTGCAGCAAATCAGCAGCAAGAGGCTGTTGCTTGTACTCTGGAAACTGTAAATCACAGCAGAGCTGCAGCTCCTTCAGGACCTGGGAACCTCATGGAAAGAATCCTGTGTCCCTCCCCTCCAAGCAAGGCTCAAGCAGAAGGTTTCTTATAGCAGTAAAAATAAGAATAAAATGAGAGAAATATCAAGGCTGCTTAATTGCAGTCATCTTCCCAGCAATACTTCAAAGGTCTGTACTGAAAAGCATCTCCTTGTCTAATTAAAATCAAAACAAATGTTACTTTTAGGAGCAATGGCACTCAGTCAGCTTTGCAGCAGAAATCCAAGATCATCCTCAGAGGCAAACAGGCCATGGGAGAGCAGGGAAGCATCAAGGGAAAGACTCTGTTATGCAAAGCCATAATCTTAATTCTATCCAGAGGGACAGTCACCCACAGGAGGGGATGATTTATAGTATTACACACTCATCACACACATATCCTGCAGCAGACCTTTCCTAAAGAGCTCAGCAAGGAGGTTATATCACCCAGCCCACAGCACAGAGCACGTGGACGCCACCAGGACCCCACTGCTGCAATTCCAAAGGCTACATCGTATTAGGGAAGCAAGGAAAAATCCTCCAGGGTCAACCTTTCTCCAATTTTTTTGCCTTACACACACATTTTTGCATGGGATGTTTAAAAGGATCACAGAGAACATTTCTCAGGAGTTCTGAAATATAGGCAATTTTTTGGATTTTAGCCTAGACTGAAGATAAGCCTGTTTCATTTTCAAAAGGTCTCTTCCAAAAGTAGAAACTTCAATTTAACATTCATTTCACAATTTTAAGCAAACCCAGCAGCCAGGAAATTTGTGACAAACACGAACTTGCCAAGCCTGGGTACCCATTCCCACACACTTATAAACACTTGTGTGCTTAAACTTTCATTTCAGGGCACCTGGTTATTACCCCAGCACCCCCAGGACACCACGAGCCTTCAATCAGATTCACCACTCACAATAAAAAGAATTCAAAAAAAAGCTTTTTCAAGCCCTGTAGCGGCAGAATCCCTCAATCCCCAAACACAAGGAAGTTTTTTGGCCTCATATACCTGACACTAATATTCCACTGCCTGTGTTTCACTGGACACACATTGTCACTCCACTGTCTGCTGCAAAAACCCGTCCATCAGACAGAATGTAATAGTCTGCAGCAAGATTGCCTGTTATCAGAGCTTTCAAAAGCTTTTGGAACAAATTAAGGGCATTCCTGCACCAAAACTGAATGAGATACAGTTAAGGTTTTAAATGTGCAGCAATGGAAAAGCACTTGTGGTCTGTAACTGTTGAAAATCTCAGTATCTAGTGGATGGGGAGCTATCAGATGGGGTTCAAACAGCCCTTTGTGGGTAAAACACCAAGTAAAACAGCCAAACAGATCATCAAACATCTGCCATGCCACCTTCCTACCTGCTCACTGTGCTCAGCAGAGAGGAGACAATGGAGAAACAAAGAGGATGCTCCTTGCCCACAGCAGGCAGCCAGACTTCTCCCTTCCCCTCCTCAAAGACCCCAGGCAAGCACCAGCTCCATCCCAGAACAGGGGCCTGAGGAATGTCCTCCCCCCAACACCACCAGGTATCTCTCCCCTCCCAGCCTCTCCAAACCTTCACAACTGCCATCATCTCCCACCACACAGCTCAGCCAAGCCCACGGGCAGCCCCCACCAGCCTTTGGTACCACCTGAGGATGGTCTGAAAGTAAGAAAAAGACACAGAGCATTTCTGCCTTTTCTGCTCTTCCTTAAGCTCTGTGCATTACACAACTTCCACAGTCTTTAACATTTTCCTTGGAAATCAAACAAGCAGTCTAAACAAAACTCTTCCCAGGGCTCAGTCTCTGACCCGGGCTCGTGGCCATTTGCAGGTCACCCATCCAGGACAAGGCAGGGGACAGCAGTGACCACAGCAAGATCCCCTCCAACCAACTCTCTAATCCCCATTTTCCCTTTGCTGTTGCTACAACCCTTTCATATAAACATTTCATTGAAATCTTCAACTTGTATTACAATCAAACTTAAAAGCAAAGGGGCCTAAATGCATTTGGTTGGGAACCAAGACGATTCCCATAAAAGCAGATTATGCTGACGTGATGAATACAAAATGAAACAGCCAATATTAAAGTTGCAGGATTGTTACTCCGTGCCTTCAGGCTCCTGGACACCCTACCCATCTCCTCCCCCTCGGTCTCACTGAAGCCAGGGACAGCCTTTTCACCTCTGCCTTCTCCAGGGCAGCCTGCCAGGCTTGAAGCATTCACCTGCTCTCCCCAGCCCAACCCTATGCAATGCCTCGACATTCACCGCTTCTGGGGAGGCTGCAGCCCTGCCTTATCTGTCATGGTGTTTTACAAAGCCTCTGTTGTATTTAATTGGCTTGTTCTTGCTAATCTACCATGATTATTGTATTTTTATTTCATTCTTGAAGGCCGTTATTAAAATAAGCCCTTTTGCTTAGAGCAGTTCATCCCCACAAGGTTCCCCGCCCCCAGATATCCAAACCCTCCTGGTGCTTCCTCCCAGCTCCCCAGCACTGCTCAGACCTGCTGGGCACCTTTCCTGTCAGCACCAGCTGCTTGGGGAGATGGGTGAGGAGCCACTGAGTAATTTCCAGTGCACAGATCCAGGCTCCTCTGGCCTTCTTCCTCCCCACCTGCTCCATCCCAGCAGGAGCTGCACCCTGCAGCCAGGCTTCCTCATCCCACCTGCACAACTCAGCATCCTAGCCTGGCAGAGGAAAAGCTGGAGGTCTGGTTAGTGGTTGTATTTCCTTTTAGAGAGACACAATTCCAGCTTGTGCCCCCTTCTTCCACACCCCTCATCCTGCCACCCCATTCCATCTGCTGTTCCTCCAGAGGCTCTCCTGAGTTAACGTTCTCCAGAGGCACCAACCTCGGATAAAGTGTTAGTTTAGAGATTCTTCAGTGCTAGCTACCACTTATGCTAATAAAGCAAATTTATGCAGAAAGTCATAAACAGAGAGCTCTCCCCAGTGCCCTTGCCAGCGCAGGATTGCTCCCTGC